GCATTCGTCCGTCATATGAAAAACACAATCAGAGCAAGGTATCATCGTCACAACCAAATTCAAGTAGTTACCAGTCTTAATCCGGATTACAGGGCAAGCGATTTAAATACACTACTAATAGTTGGAATATCTGTATTCCAGAATACTGGAGATTTTTGGAAACGTAGGCACTTCTCCAGTTAGTGAATTGGATACAAACTTGAGAAGCAAATATCATTCAGTTGCCACACATCTTTTACGAATGTGCTAAGAACATTATGTATAATTAGCGAAAATATTGATCAAACAAGTTATGCACATTGTCACAGCTGTCCGACACTGCAGTCCGTCTCTATAGCTGGAAGATACAAGTATTAACTTTTATCTCGTTTTGCCTCCTTAGATTTTACGGTACACAAAAGCCTGGATTCAGGTGTTGACTATCCAGATTCTGCTTGCTATTCTCCTGCCACTCATTACTTGGATGCAAGTGAGCGGCTTCAAGTAAATCAATCTGAAGCAAGTTGCAGCAAGCACCACTTAATGACGGGAATATACAATACGTGGAGATCGGTCAAGCCCCCAGAACTTGACTTTCCGACGGCAAGAAATGCTGGGCAAGGCACCAAAGATTGTGATGGCCCACAATCAGAAAATGATTATTTAGCAAGCAAAGTGAGCAAGCTAAATCAAAAACTTTATTTTAAGGTTTATACCATGATTTTTATCCACTTATATCTAGAATAGTCATGTAAATATCTTCACTAGCTGTAGCCAACCGACCACTCTTGTAGACCTCAGATTAATTAATGCTTTACCTTTGATTCCTGTTAATGACTTTACCATAAAATTGTCACAAGGGTTGACCCACGTAGTATGAACAAATCTTACAATAACTTTTAGTATAATAACTAAAAATGGCATTGCTAGTTTTTGTCTGGCTATTTAAATACAAGTAAACTGAACAATATTTGCAGCATTAAAGCACTCGATTGAAGGAATTAATGGTGCCATATAAGGAAAAGGCGTTAAGCTTTAAAGTATACATTGAGTAAAGTTGAAATAATAAATATTACATTATTTATCTACAACTTATATAAAGAACGAGAAAAAGAATAGTTATTATTTGGTAAATTTTTAGGGGCAACCTATTGTTATGATGATTAATAAAGATTTATTTAAATTTTTAGTTTTTTTGTACACTAAAGAGCTAGATTATACAAAATATGAATGCGCAAAGAAAAACGGCATTTAATATAAGTATTTTTAAAATATTTTGATCAAGAACGTAGTGACCTTATATTCATTATGCAAATTTAAGATAATTATAGTGGACTTTCAGAAAATGGTATGAACGGGCCTCACGAGACCAATAAATACCACTTATAATTGCATCCCAAGAAGTTTTTTTATCCAGTGAACTAAAGTTTGAACTTCGCCTAATTCCTATCATAACGCCCAGCGGAATTTAAAAAAAGATCGTACACATCATGGTGACACATTCACGGGTTCGAGGAGTCACAATGTTGATGTGAATTTAAAGGCAAATCAGACTTTTTCAAATGAAATTTGTAGGCAAACACGTATTTATCATTACATTGGACGATGTTACTTATAAGTGCTCTGAGTATAGAAGATCTTAAGTGACAAGAAATGAATGAGGTTCTTGCTAAATATTTAGAGGTGCCTCTTGTGTGAATATAACTAACATAATATGAGAAGTAATCAACCTACTTTGTTTAAGTTAATAAAAGACTGGTAGTCGAATTTTCCCACAATTATATGAGTAGAGCTGATGTTTCCATTGAATTTCCCATAGCCTTGATTTCCCATAAGATGTTCTCATCTAGGGTGGACTGCAGTTTCGACCTCGCATAGATCTTATCAGCACCCTATTCATTTACGAAAAAAATAATGTTGTCGATTGCTATAGTAAATATAAGTTTGCTTCATCGACACTCTTAACGCAGGATGAGATAAAAAAATGCCCAATATTCCTTTAAATTCACATTTGCTCTGTTAGCTAAGGCCACTTGTGGTAATATGGCGTAGTGGTTAATGTGTCGGACTTACAAGTTACATTGTCATGATTCGACTCCCGTTTAGGGTGTTGATGCGACCTAGACGAGGCCGAAACTGCAGCCCATCCCGGATGAGAATAAGTTTTGGGAAAGCAAGGCAATGTGAAATTCAATGGAAACGTCAGCCCTACTCATATCATCGTGGGAAAAATCAACCACCAGTCCTTCATCACCTAAAACAAAATAGGCTGAATCTAATTATTATATCTGATTTACTGGTAGTCTCGAAAACCTACTTATTTCTGAACATTAGAGGCAGCCTTATTTTAATA